ATTACCATTATCATTATGAAATTGTCCTTGTAATTTTATATGCCAATTATAATAAATTTAAGTAGTGTAATGGAGGAAAAAGGAATAAGAGCTACAAATGTAATATAACCTCCTTTCAACCGGAAGGAGCAAAAACTATGTTAATTGAGCTATGAAGTATAAATTATTGTATGAGAAAAATAATAATTATTATTACTATATATGAATAATTATTTAGTTTTAAGAGAATTGTGTTCTATTAAATCGATCGCTAGTAAGTTACAAATTAATTACGCGTAATAATAGTTGTTGTGTTAGAGCGAGGGCATAGTCTTGCATAACGCATAATATATTTATAATGCATAAAAAATGAATAAGTCAAATTGTGTTTTCGCTTATAGCTGCAGTTTGTACCAACCTGGATTGGATTAATGATATGTATGCTCTACTATTGATAGAGTATATACGTTTAACGTTAACCAATATAGTACAACATTAATCCAACCCAAGTGCAAACCAACTAGAATCAAAAACGCTAAAAGTTTTTAATTTCCTTTCTTTTTATGTAATAAAAGGCTTCAATTGGTTGATTTCTTTATGTGTTATGCGTTATGTAAAGTCTGTGCTTCAGCCTTATATCCTGAGGACTAGATAATTTTTCTTTCTCATGGGAGTATTTTTAATCATTAGACTTTCATAAAATAATGTACAAAAACCGATACTGTTCATTTGTGAAAATAAAAATAATTTAATTAAATTGATGGCAATTTTAATTCTACAAACCTGTATGAGTGGTCAAAGTTTTTTAATGACATTTTATTCTCATGCAAATTTTTTTACAAACAAACACCTCTTCGATGTTGAATCGATATAAATTTTTTAACAATATCGTCCGAATTTAAATTAGTTAAAATCATCTTTCTCAATCGATAATAAAACTAAATCGGATGTTCCTTCTTGTGTCATAGTACTTCTTGTTAGAAAACTGAGCCAAGAAAAAAATATCGAACCCTCGAACGCGATGCCGAGGACTCGAACCGGGGCCTGGTAGTAGTTTGTGTTTTAGCAAGCCACTGTCTTGCCTCGAAGCCACACAGTCCGACGGGAGGATCTTAGTTTATTTCTTACATTCTCTCTCTCTCTCTCTTTCTCTCTCTTAAGGATGCTGGAGTCCGCGCCTGTATTATCGATAAAACTAGCATTTTTAACGTTTTCGTTCCTGCCTAATTTTTTCGTAATAGCTTTGCAGAATAAAAATTTCTTCTCCACGATTTAAATATTTAAGCTAATATACCTGCTCCTGGTGTATTTTGTGGCCAAAGCTGGAAAAAGTATGAAAAATCATAGATTTCTTTATCCATTTAACCTCAGTATAGCGACCAACGTTGAAGATAAAAACGGATAAAGAAATCTGTAATTTCATACTTTTTCCAGCTTTGGACACAATATAGACCAGGGGCAGATACATTAGCATAAATATTGAAATCGTGGAAAAGAAATTTTTATTCTGCGAAATCATTATAAAGAAATTAGACAGGAACGAAAATGTCAAAAACGCTAATTTTATCAATAACACAGGCGGGTCCAGCATCACCTTAATAATTTAAACTCCCCTGACTGGGCTCGTTTTCACGTTCATTTCCCTCGATATTTTGA